GAGAGAGAGAGAGAGAGAGAGAGAGAGAGAGAGAGAGAGAGAGGAGGAAAAGGGATGAAACGAGGAAAAATGTCGAGAGAGCGACAAATGAGGTCGTCCAATCATTCTATCAAAGGCTCGCTACTAAAAGATCCATATCGAGTAATCGGAGGGGGCGAAATTATCGGTACAACTCCTATTATTGGGTACCCAGGCACGTGAAAATAGAAAATGAGAGACCGACAGATGAGATCGATATCCACAGAACACACACACATACTTTCTCTCTCTGCCATCACATTGGGAGTTTTCTCGTTATTTGATTACCGACTTACGTCGATATCTTGCCTCCGGCCATCCAAGTCAAACTTCACAATGAGCGCAGAGCATCCGCGACGCGAGCAAGCGCTGACAAATCGCGTGACAGATTGCAAAGCGAGCTTTCCTACTTCACGCATGGTCACGCAAAAGTGAAGCAAAGGGATCGAGGATGAAAAGGTAGTGCACGAGGAGGAGTGATAAAGAATTGAGAAAAACAGAGAGTGAACAATAGAGAAGGCTCTTATTGTACGTGCTAGTCCGACGGATAAATTATGATCGCTCTTTACCTATAGCGTGGCAGTAATCACGACGCGCACTTTTTTCGTTGGCTACGTGGAGAGCTTCGAGGAAATGTATTATCGAGTCTCTGTGCTTGTCGCGCGATACGATCGCCAAGTTGAATCAACGTGCACCGCCGCGTAGGACAAAGCGCGCGCCGGGATCGTTGGGCAAAGGAGGAAGGCTCCGCGCGTGCCTTGCTCCAAGTTCGCCAGGCGTAGTTATCGACTGCATTATTAAGTCGGTATATTTCCGTGGCCGATGTTATCGATCTTCGAGCCTGAGTATCTCCCAGCCTGGCCTGACGTGTGTATTGCACTTTGCCTCCCTCTGTCTCTCCCGTTCTCTCTCTCTCTCTTTCCTATCTATCTCTATCTCTCTATCTCTATCTTTCTCTATCTTTCTCTATCTTTCTCTCGGCAAACCGCCTCCCTCGAAGCCATTCGTTTCTGAACGAGAGCGGCTAAAGGCGGACACGCGCGCGGCGCTAAGCGACAGCCACTAGCCAATTTACGATCGCGCAAGCGCATCTACCGAACTGCATCCTACGTTCGGATGCAGTTTACTGAGACGCATGTACGCGCTGAATCGAACGGCTACTACTACTGCGGGCCCCTTTTGGTCTTGCCATCGTCCACAGAAATTCGCCCACGAGAATACCAACGGCGTGAGAAGATCGTGCCGGCCGAACCATCGATCGCTCCGAGCGATTTGATACGTCTCGAGAATTCCGCACTTCGACGTATGTTCTATTTTAAATTAGAAAAAAATGCAACCCTAAAAAAAAAGCTTTTAGCATTAAAATTATATCTCCTTAAGGGGGAGTGCAGAAATCAAGTGTCAAACGTAATCATGAAATTCGAGAAGATACAACAATTGTGAGAAAATATTCCGCTTGTACCAACGAGAAGTACCAACAAAACGAACACATGAATCGGAATTCCGATTGTCGGAATTCTGACTACAATGTTTTGACAGATTTAAATATAAGTGTCTGTTTTGTACCTTTCTGGTTAAATCTACAGAGATTCCAATTAATACAATAACACTTCCTTTACTTCTATTACGAACGTAACTTTTTTTCTGTATTTACTTTAATCTCAATATTAATTGTAACTTTGTAAACCTCACTCTCTGCGAATAATGCATTTCTGAACGAATGTTTCATAGTCAAATTACAGCTGGCCAATTTATGATCATGCTCGCATGCATACAAATCTATAGTGTCAAATTTAACTTAATGTAAGTGGTTACAATTACATCGTTATTTTATATTAAAACAATGGTTATATTTGATACTATACAGTATCAAATTTAACTATTGTTAATAAAGTAATGATGATTCAGTAGGAGCAACAGCGACTTAAGTTAAATTTGACAGTATAGATTTCACAGTATGGTTCTATGATTGTGAACTTTGATTGAAATGCAACGATTTTTCATATTATATTTCTTTCGTATTTAAATCGTGTTTGCCATTTAATAAAAATTTAACTGTATAGTATTTTATATCTGAAAGTTATTTTATGCAAACTGAAAGATACATTTTTTTTTTGTTACAGTATTATGAGATGTCGTATGGCCTCAACGTTGAAATGCACAAACAGGTAAGTTTTCCATTTCTTTTTAAAGTAATGATTAATCCTTTTGATCCATCGATTTAAGGTCGCAATCAGTGTTACCGTTCGGTAATTAAAAATTAACTAAATTAAACTAGATAAATTAGTATTACATGAAGAATTGCTGGCTAAAATATTTAAAATAGATAGTAATCCCTCTTTGAATATATTCTTAGAATGTATTCCATGTAATTGTAGTTATTCTTCAAACACATTGCGTACAATTAGATCGTAACATTGAGTAATGTGATCTTTAATTAGCGTAACGCAAAGTTAATCAAGATCACGTTTAACTCGGATGTTAATTGTAAGTATCCGAGTGGCCCTTCGTTAATTGAGCCCGGGGTCAGTGAATCGTTGGAATCGGCTGCGGTAGCAAATGAGGGGTGCGAGTGGCTCGCGCGTTTAGGCCGGGAAATCGTGTAATTTCTGCTAATCAGGGGAAACTGCGGCGGAGCAGTCCCCTCTGTCAGCAATTTTCTTAAAAGCGACTACGGTATAGCCCCTCATCGCCACGCGGTCATGCTCGAAAGTGGGGCGCTTCCGAACTCCAAACAACCCTCCCGTCGTCCCAGTACAACGAGCTGATATTCATTAGCATTAGCGGCCGATCATTTCTCACCCTCGTACCTCGAGGCGGCGCTTAATGGGCCAAGGCGCGGGGGACTACGTTCTCTCGGGTAGTTATAGGGTGTAACACGGCGCCAGAATCACCGCGGAATTGTTTCCGGCGAATAATGCACGAGAAATCAGAACCTCTCTTAAAGACACAAAAAAATAAACGGCGCTACTTTAAGCGATTCTCGCAGATCTCGCGACCCGAACTACGAGAGTTATCTTTTAAAATTAGAATAAGGTCATCGAACTTGATTTATTAATAACGAACATTGCAAACGTTTATGTGTCATCTCAAATTCGATTAACTAAGAGTATTACTTAATTAAATGGCTTATCTTGGAAAGATAATGTATCGAATAATTAAATAAAACTTGACTCCATCTTTTACGTAGATAATGTATAAACTTACTAAATTGTATATATTGAAGAATCTGAAAATACATTCTTCGATATACGTCACTTTTTCTCTCGTCAATGATAAAACTTCTAAAGTATGAAAAATTATCGGCTTTTTAATTAACTGTGATAATATCGCGCCGATGTCATGCGCGATAAAACTTCTGAAAGACACCCGTTTCGCGTAATTTGTAAATTTGTCGGGTCGGGTAATAATATACGCCAGATGTTAAAATAAAAATCGAAAAAGTAAGACCACTCGAGATCGCTGGAAAATCAAGTCAGGACACCGCGACTGCACAAATTGCAGCGGAGATAATGTAACACAGCGAACTCGCTTCTCTGACGCTAATTGGAAGAGAAATGAAAAGTTATCGGTTCTTGGCGGCTCTCTAATTAACCGTGATAATATCGCGCCGATGCCATGCGCTCGTGAACGCGCGATTAAATCTCTTTTGCCAGCTTATTCACATTAATTGCTATCTTCCAAGCGTATTAGACGATGATTTTGCGATGCACAAAATGGGTAAGTGTGATATCGTGAAAGAAATCAACTTGATAGAGATTTTTGAAATTTTGTTATCGTTTAGAGAAGTACGTTTTACTATTTATTGACGTTCCGTTTTTTTTTTATCTGCTATCAACGACCTAATGAGTTTACCCCAAAAATGCATTTATTACTCCCGGGGATGCCGCACGTCGCGTCAGTCTCAAAATCCTCCCTCGCTTGGCAAAAAAATAAATAAATCAAGTTCCCTTTAGTCAATCCCCGCCACTTAGCAGGCTTTCGCGTCGCGGTTTTCTCGCTCCTTTTCAATTTGAACCCCCGAATGAAAACAATCTTCCCCTACAAGGTTAGAACCTTCTGTATCTCTGCCTCGCTCTTTTTCCCGTTTCGCCACCCCTTTCGTTTTTACCCTTTTCGCTCTCCCTCGCTCCTCGTGCGGCTCTCTGCCTCCGTTCCTCTCGCGTTCCCTTTCTCTGCCTTTGATTTTCCGTCGCATTTTGCCCACACTGTGTGTTCCTCTCTATAAGCCTCCCCTCGCTCGTCGCTCCCAGAATGCTAGCCATCCCTCGCATCTGCGACCCTCGTATCTCCTGCCACAGCTCGAAGTCGACATTTGCCTCTCACCCACCCTACCGCAGCCACCACTTTACCACTCTCTACTCGACTAACTCGAATTTGTTGGCGATGTCCTAGTTCTTGTAGGTACGATTACTTCTCTCGCTTCATCCGTTTCCTCATCCCCAATAGCAGTCTTGAGTTTTCTCCCTTCGGTCAGCCTTACTCACGAACATTGGCTTGCTCGTTCGATTTAATTGCATGATATAGTTTGCGACCAATCGCTCGTCGGGATATTCGTCTCTTTTGACTCCCACGGTGACGAAACGAAGTTTTTCACGACACTTTCGAAGTTCCTCGCCTTCGACGTTACTCTACGTGAATACCGCTTATTATGAAGAATCTTGGAAAGATTTAGTAGAAAAATTATTGTGTTTATTAAACAATATAATATATAAGAGTATAAGGCCTCCTTTTGAACTAAAAGTTAAGGTATCAAGTTACTATAATTTATTATTATGAAGGGATGTCGGCGTCGTCTGTTTTACCGAGAAAAATACCATTTTTGTTAATTACTAATTACTTCATATTAACTTGATAGAATTAAACTGTTTTTTCCACGATTAAAATACACATACTAATGTAATATATTTTGGCTCCGGCTCTAATATATTTTGTGTTTAAAGCAGAGAAAATCAAGAAATAACAAATTTCCTTATCCATTTTTATCTCAATATAGCAGCGATCAATGCTGTCAAGTTATTAAAACATTATTGACTTCGTGGAAAGATTATGACATGATGTTTGAAAGACATCTTAATGTCTTCATGACGTTTCATGTTTGCATTCTGAACATATCGTTCTCTGGGGGAGTTTCACAGTCTGTAATTTAAACTTTCAGTTCGTGGCGATGTATAACATGACGTTAAACGGTAAAAATCGAAGTAAATTCTTTGTCGCCGTGCGGAAGTGGTTTGGAAAGATTTATAAATCGTTAAAAAATAGGAAATATTTAATCAAAATTATGCCTTTTTAAATTTTGATATTAATACGATATCGTTCGTTAATATGTAATAAAGCTTTTTTGTCAGTCGTTCTATTGGATTCTTGCGTCCATCGAATTTCATCGTATACGAGTTTCTCCGGAAAACGAGATTTGCGGCGATAGAGAAAAATGGGCGGCTCGCAAAAAGCGGCCGCGACTACGCAAAAGAAAAGCGCGGAAGAGAAAGGGTGGAATAAACTGGGCGAATCAGAGCGATGGCGAGGACGAGACAGGAGAGCTAAAAACTCATCGCGACGCGACTGGTCGCGCGCGTTACGTTCTCGCCCTATTCATCCATCGAGTCGTACGTACATACGTACATACATTCGGTTGCCGGCATATCTGTCCGATAACGCTTATCGCTTAATTGAAAGGGACGTCCTTCGGTGCGACGGCCGCCTGCTCGTTGCTCCGCTCGATTAAGCTGCGATCCACGGTAATATGTCGTGGATACATTACGCGCACGCGATCACGAAATGGGTCATTACCGAGTCTTGGAAAGCCGAGGAAATTAGAATTAACCACGAAATCCCAAGGAAATGAGGTAACAAATTAAGTTGCATTCGTTTTGATATTTTAAATATCACATCATTAGTTCACATCGAGCCACGCGCGGGCGAGTTTAATTAAAAACTTGTCGCGCAAGAGGATTATAAGGTCCGGTTACACAATTCGCGATTAACTCTTTAACCGAGGTTTAACTTACTCTTCATCAAAGAGATGAGGGTGAATCTGAACCTCTCGGTTAAAGAGTTGACCGCGAATTGTGAAACCAAACTTAAGAAGAGAAGAGGAATTCTTATTCTGATTTATACCCGTAACATAAGTATAATTGTGGACATTTTTGATTCCATCAACTGTTCTGTATATTAAAATTATGTCCGAGTAAAGAATCGCGTGGATGGCAATAACTTTTGCGTTATCCTAGAAGAATGAAACCGCGCTGAGAAGTTATTACGAATCACATCGTCTCTATAAGATAGGAATCCTTCGAGCGGAAATATCGAATTGAAGACGGCGTTCTTACGAAAAAGCGCGTTTCTCTATGGAAGAATATTGCCGCGGCGTTGTTGTTGGCGTTGTTCGTCAATACAAGAGTAACTACCATTTCCCCATCGCGGGTTCGCTCGGCGTCCGATAAAAAATGTGCAGGCTGACCAATTGCGTATAACTCACCCTGCCTTTCCAGTTCTTCCTACCTTCATGCATATATACGTCTATCTATCCGGGCTCTCTGTCTTCTGCTCTCTCTCTCTCCCTCTGGTCATCTCTCCCTCTCACCTTCGTTCTTTATCCTTTTTTTTGAATTCTCTTACTCCGTCCCTCTTTCAGTACGCGACCCCTCTCGCTCCGTCTCCCACGGGCTCTCTTTCGGCGGTTGGGGGTCGCTTTTCCAGGGTTCTCTCGTTCGTACACACGTGTTAGCGTGCGAACGCGCGAGCGGATGGACGAGCAAGCGCGCGAGCGAGTGGACGAGAGAAAAAGAGAGAAAGAGGGCGAGGGTGGTGAGAAAGAGAACGTGCGTATACACACTCGCACTCGCAATCGCACTCGCTTGCGCTTGCTCGCACGAACACCTATGCCGCGCGCGCATACACCCTCCTAGGGGTCGTGTATTCGAGTTCTTTTATTTTGCCCTGTGGAGGTAGCAGAGGGTTGAGTCGAGCGAGAGCGGAGAGAGCGCGAGGGCTGGGGGCGATGACATCGATTTTTTACCCGTTGCTAATCTCAATGTTACCTCCACCTCTTTCTCCTCCTCCTCCTCCTCCTCCTGATCTACCTCCACATCCACCACGTTTTCCTCCACCTCCCGTTCGGTCATCTCTATCCCCTTCCTCCCCATCCCGCCCCGTCAACTCACTTCGTTCTCCCTGCTGCCGCCCCCCGTCCAGCCTGCACCTCGGCCATCCGTTTTGCGGGAAAACGTGCATGTGCATCGGGCACATTCGAGAAGGAATAACCATTTTTTCGTGCCGGACAACACTCGCTCCGCGTCGCCCGCGTCCTGCAAATTCTCCTCGTCTCCCGACCGCCGCCTCCGACTACCTCCCGCAATCCCCGACACTATCCCTCGCATCCTCTGTCCATTTTTTCGTCGAACCTTTTTTCGTCGCCCGCCCTTCTTCTACACCCACCTAACCATCCCAGTTCGTTCCCTCCCGTCCCCTTTGCCACCTACTGTCGAACAGGGCGAAATCGAACTGACGTGGACGCGGCAGTTTTCCATCTTTCTATTCCCCGTGGGGGCGATGACATTTTTTTCGGTCTCTCAACTTTTAGATCTACGCGGCCGGCTCGGCTCCTCTGACGTGAAAATATCGCTGGAGCGATATCGGCGCGGCATTTCTATCGATACAAACTCGCTACTAAATACTTGTAACGTACGATTCTACCCTCGCCAATTCACCGTCACGAGTCGTTGAGATTGAGTAAAATAATTCCATCGATTAAAAAATATATAACTATATATACAGTGATTTCCGATATATCAACCCTTAATTCACACGATTGGGTCATTCATGTTCTGCACATTTCTTTTCTTTGAAATACTAAGATTTGACTGGTTTTCTTTTGTTTTAAATACACAACTTTATAAATACTCTCTAAAGATGTAAAGTATATGTAAAAATTACTTAATGACTTTCATATACTAGTAAAAGTAATGACTAATTAACCTACAATTTATCGTGTGAGTAACTGTAATAAAGGATTGAAATATTATCGTATCAAAGATTTTCGTACATTTACAGTACACACACGATGATTTTTCCGGTCTTTTATTACACACGATGGGTCGATTATTCGTGTCTCGGATATACTTCACACTTTTAGAAAGTATTTATATAAGGTTGTATTTTAAAAAGAAATTCTATATAAATGCACTGAGAGAACAACTTTTTTAATCTCAAAGAAATATTTCCTTGCTCGTATTAAAAAAAAATGATTTTTTTAGATCAATGAAAATTTCTTTAAAATTAAGATATATATTTTTTTTTAATCTTCTTTTTTTAAAGTAAAAACACTATATCTTAATTTCAAAGAAATTTTCAAAATTTTTGATCTAGAGAAATTATTTTTTTTTTTTTGAACGAGCAAAGAAAATATGTCTTTGAAATTAAGATATTTTTTGTTCAGTGTGTTATAACTACAACACAAAGTAAATCGAGACGTTTTGGTGTCTAAAAGACGTCTTAAATACTCGTATGTCTTATGTCTCAATTTTGGACTTTATATCTGGATATAATTGTGCGCCTAATTTTTTGAAGAAAAGAAATGCACAGAACACGAATAATCCAATCGTGTGTACTAAGAGTTAATTTAATTATTTGAAAAGACAGAAATTTATTTGCAATTACCATACGTGTAATCAGACGTGATAAATAGGCGACAAAATACAAATATTTCTTTCGTGTTCCGATTATGTGAAAGTCACGTGACGATCATGAGCTTAATCGCGATCCGATTCGATCGACGCACATTAATGAGTAGCCACCCCGCTGTACGAGGGTGAACCGACGAGTTATGTGCACGAATGTTCGTCGAGCACTCGTCATGCGACATGTGATTACCGCGATGTAGCCCCCGCAATGCCGTGACACGTGTGTCCTGTTATATACACACAATTCGTATCGCACTCCCCATACAACCGGCTTCGATTTCTCAATTAAATCCCGAATTATTCAGAACATAACTATAACGTTAAACCTATACACGTGACATTACATTTCGAGTAAACTTTCGATGTGTTACTTGTGCAATTGAAGGACTGGATTCTATAACGGGATAGACGATTTCGATGGATGGATTTCGCGGGATATGTCCGTTGAGCTAATTTTAGACATCGCTCTAATTTCGATTTTGATTCTTGCAGAGAATTTTATAGAGCATCTTTTTGTGCATCTTAAAATTTATAACCTTTTGTCCTCAAGTCATAAACGGAAGAAATAATTGTAAATGAAAAAATTTCGATGCATTTTTTTACGTTTGATTTGTCTCTTTGAAACTTTCACAGAATAAACTTTAACATATTTCTCGAAATGACATATAAATAGTTTTTGAAATATTTTACAGTCTAATGCAATTTTTTCGAAATGTTTCTTTCGAATTCGTAGTTTTATTTATTTGATCACAAAAGTTGTCCTTTTCAAATTGTCATCTTTTACGGGAAATCCACGTGTATCCTGTTATAACGGAGCCCCTCAATTTTACAAATGGATCGGTCATTTTGAAAACGACATGTACCGTTCTTTAATTTTTGGAAATGGAGATAACTGACGGAATGTTTTATAAAAGCGCGCATTTATGGCACGTATCAAAAGAAATTACGTATCTGTCATCTAGGAATTACTCTCTTTGAAAGCAGCATTCAATAAAATTTAGTGCACTTTGTTTTCTCTTGAAAATCGCGATATTCTTTATTCACGTTTTATTTTACTTTCGACAAGTGACCAGTATCTGAATAGTTAGCTTGTTTGAAAACACATTTGATTAAATTGCTTACGAATTTAATTTGTGATATTACTATAATAGTCAGTTGGCTTGCATTTCGAGACCGAAAATAATTTCAGCATGCAGTTTAAAAAAGACTACATACTGTATATGTAGTATATATATTCACACAGAATTATTTCAGCACTATACACTATATGTAGATCTAGCTTCATCGTTTAAGGTCCTTATTTTTTAAACATTTATTCGATTATTCGTCGTATATTTGCGGATCAATATTAGATAATATCTCTATATTATCTATATATAGTGATAATGTAAGAATTAGTTATCAGTGCTGAAACTCCAGTTTTTGTTTGCAAAATAAAAACAGTACGTGTGACGTAGACATACAAAGTAACAAAGTAATTATAACAAGAATTGTTATAGTTACTTTATTATTATATTATTCATATCATCAAAACAATAAAAAGTGATTAACAAATAATTTATTTAGTATATTTTTTCAATATTATTATTATAATAAAATATAATAAGATAGAGGAGAAAGTCATCGAGATACTGATATAGGTCTTCTAAAGTGACACCCCCTTATTCCTCAGAAACTAACCTTTGCACTTTATTAATACTAATAGAAACGTGATCTATGTAGTTAATTAAAAAAATACAAACTCATGATTTATATATTTGTGGCTTATTTCTATATCAAATCAGCTAAAAACAAATTCTACGAATCCGAGAAGAAAATTTTTAGAATATTCTTTTGCAAATTGCGTAATTTAAATAATAGTAACTGTATTATTGATTATATTATGTCATTTTAAATGCTTAAATTCATAAATTAATTTTCTTTATAGAATAGGATATCTTTATCCTATAGAATAGGAATATAGGCTTCACACTGTCTATTATGTCAGTTTTGGAACTCATTTTGTCAGACCCCCATTTTCGCTTATCTTACGGAAAACTTAAATATTGTAAAATTACAAACCGTATTATAAAAACTGCTTGTACTATCTGATAGAAGACACTTTTTAGTTTGTACTTGTGTTTTTGAAATTATATTTTTACTCTTAGTTTAAGAAATATTGTCTAAAAACGAAGTAGTATTGTCGGTATCGGTGACCTTCCTCTACAAAATATAATTTAAAAATATCTGATATATACATCTGAGGATACTTTTAAAGTATTTTATCCATTACTGTGTGTTGCAGACGGAAATTGCGAAGAGGCTGAACGCGATAATCGGGCAAGTGCTTCCGTTCCTGGCGCAAGAGGTGAGTCTTTGACTTTCTGTTTGGCACGCGTGCCGTGCGATCTCACAATCGAGTGTGACGACGACGCGATAATGATAGCATGGCATTGCAGCATCAGCAGCAGGTGGCCAATGCCGTGGAGAGGGCGAAGCAAGTCACCATGTCCGAACTGAATGCTATTATCGGGGTAAGTAGTCGCTCACCATCAACTTCCTACGTCATCGGCTCTAATGAGATAGATCGTAAAAATGTATTCAGATAAAATTCTTTATAAGTTCGTGTGCTATATCGGCGAATTTAACCTTATGATTGAATAATTGTTATTTGAGTGCAACTTGACACGTTTATTTTTCATTCTTGCAGCAGCAACAGCAGCAAGGTCTCCAACAATTATTGGTGAGCATTTTATATCATATTTAATACATAAAATATATCATAGTTTAAATTTAAATTTTTGTGTATTTATTGGATGATAATTTTTGGAATCATTTTGTAATGAGATTCATCTTAAAGTAACATATGTTGCGACATTTTGCTGATAAAAAATGTTATAAAAAATTACGCGTTGTTAAGAATAAGAAAAACAGTTTGATACGTTGATTGCGCGGATTACGTGATTAATTTTACGAGAATCTAATTAGAGATTCTACATATAATACATAACAGTTAGTTATCAAAGGAACAATGGTAACCCAATTTCTCGAGTCAAATAATATTTTATTGTTTTTGACTTTCATATGTGTCAAATTATAAATTAATTTCTATGGTTGAATTGCTTAGTTTCAAACAACATATGTATTAACGTATGATAAATAATAAATTTAATAAATTTTAATCAAATTACTACATTTCTTGATTCTTTTGTTCTAGTTAGATTTACCAGACTATGAATAGGAGCAATGACGATCCAGAAATGATTAAAAATAATTCAAATTGGGTGTAATATAACATAAAGACAGGATACATTGCGATAGTAAAGAAACAGAAATTTTAAACACACTTTTTCTGTTTAATCTATCGATAATATTGTAACTTCCTAAATATTATCTGAAATATTGGATAGTGTTGATTGGTATTATAGCGCCGATTTTACGGTGGTTTACGCGGTTAATCGACGAAAAATGAACGAAGAATAAGAGATCGTAAAGCGCGTGCGATGCAAGAAAGAGAAACTAGAAGAGAAAAGGAATGAGTGGTACGCTATTACAAATGCTTTTTATCTTGATATCGCAGCAACAGATCCATGCGCAGCAACTGCCTCATGGCGCGGTGGTCGGCGGTCTTCCGCCGGGCGGTCTGCTGGGCTTCGCAGGTGCGGCCGCGGCGGCCGCAGCCGCGGGTG